TATGGTTGAGACCATTCAGGGTTATGCTAGAGGGGTGCAAGGAACATTCTAAGTAGTGGGGGAGTTTTATACACTAAAGGTGTGGAAATTCTCTGGCGTTATAATATCAGCGCGGCCGCGGTCAGATCAAAATGCCTCCGAATGCAATTTGAATAGATCTACAGCCAATCAGAGCAAGGCAACGTTGGGTCTGCGTCATGCCTTACTGATTGAGATCAATCGGAACNTCTTCTCAAGAGAGCACCAGAATGTGTATTTGATGTTAGTATTTCAAAAAATCTCCTGGGGGAGAATCCCCCCAGATCCCCCTGCAGGGGTTGGGGGGATTCTCGCCCTTTTTATTTACTACAAGACAAATGTGCTTTTTTATTTCATACAGTTCAATTTGGATTGAGATAGGGAAATAATCTAAACCTCACGCGTGGCGTTTCACTGTCAAGGGGTGCGTGTATGTAGTTACATTGCAAATACAGACTTGAGCCCCACCACTGATAGGTTAGCCCTACCATAGATTACCCAACACAAATACTCTGGCGCCGCCACTGGTTGTGGGTTGTGGGTTAGCAATGACTAGGTTAGCTACGTTAGCTAGCTAGCTTACAGCAGATCTGCAGTAACATCAGGAGTCATGTGACCACATTGTTAAAATAAGACCATAAAACATTTTAGGTAAGTTTCCAACAACAGAGACAGTTGTTCAGCTTTATCCTCCTGAACGTCTGCAGTGTGAGCATCATGAGTTCTACCATCCATCTCCTTAAAGGCCCTGACACACCAAGCTGACCCCAGAGAACACGTCCCGACGGACCTGACTGTTGTGTCGCCTCACGTCTCCCGCGTCTTGGCCAACAGTCGCACTGGAACACACCGCAAAGACTTCAGCCGACGGCCAAGAAGCACGTACGAACTGCGCATGCGTGAGTGGCAATAACTCTCCTGACCAGCAGGCGGCGGTAGTGTGTATTCTTCATTCAAAAGAGGCAACAACCGGAAGACAGAGAAGAAGAACAGACTGCGTGATCTAAACAAACAACAAATAGTGTGTTTTCACTCTCTTCCATCGAAAACATGTCTCGTGCAGTACTGGAGCTATCAGCCATTGGAGTGTTGCTTGTGGAAGACATTCTCAAGCAACCGTTTCGCTTCTCATGCACTGATTCGCTAGCTGAACAGCCAATCAGAGTGATTTCTTTCTCCGACTGCCTGTGCCATGAAAGGCCAAATAAGGCGTGTCACGGCCGACAGTGCGGGACACACCAAATTGAGTTTGGGCGACAGGGCACGCTTCGTCGTCCGACTAACGAAAACGGCCAAAATCGGCCTGGTGTGTCAGGGCCTTTAGGCTGTGTCCTGTAAACACTGAAACGTTGGGTCTAAACTCACAGATCTGATAAAGCCTGCTCCATATTGATGATGATGATGAGGTGTCTTTCCAACAGCCTGATCCTCTCTCTCCTCTGAGGCACCGACTCCCTCCCGCCCGGTGGATGAAGTGGAAATGAGTTCACGAGGAGAACAGTCCTCCCACACACTGATTATTAAGAAGACGTGTGACGAGCTTTTTCACAAACGCTCATGACAGAATCTGTCAGTGATCAATCTGCAGATCTGCTGTCCATGTTCCCAGCTCCGTATCACAAAGATTTAGGTGCATACTAGATGCTTCTGCCTCTCGCAATAAAGGCCTACAATGCAGGTGTCACTGTGAACGCTTAATGTACCTGCCCACATGTTTTATTCACAACATGTCTCTCAAATCAAGCGTTGCGTTCCCCTAACCACACCCTAATGAAGCTGAAATGTGAATATACTAAGGAAAGTTGGAGGAGAAATAAAAAACGTAAGGAACATAATGAAGGTTTTTGCAGAATCGCGTCATGGCAACATGGTCTTTAAATTACCATAATATATTCTACAATCTTGAAGAGTTGATCCTTTACAAAAATCCCCACTCCAGTAGCTCTTAGACACACACACACACACACACACACACACACACACACACACACACACACACACACACACACACACACACACATTCGTACGCATTTTAGTATGGTCGCCGACAGCTGCAAACGCTCTACAACCCAAATCTTTTCCATCAGGAGCTGCAGCTTCAGAGAGGATGCAGATATAAAAAGCCAAATGTTCCACATGAAGAAACGTCTTCAGCAACTCGAGGAGACATGGCAGCGTTTACTAAAAGCTGCAGAAACCAAATGCTGAAGAAGCTCAAAACACAACGGAGGGCAGTGAGAGACCCTCGCCCCAGATTGAGCATCAACATGTTGAGTTATTCAGCTTCCTGGAGAGGAACATCTCAGCGGGGGGGAACCAGACAGCTGGTTAGTGCTCTGCAGAGCCCAACACACACACACACACACACACACACACACACACACACACACACACACACACACACACACACACACACACACACACACAAATCAAACCTCATCAGAGAGGGTGGAAGTACACACATCCTTTACTCAAGTAGAAGTACAGATACTGGTGTTTAAAATACTCAGGTGAAAGTAGAAGTACTGACTAAACTTCTTTACTCAAGTGAAAGTAAAGAACTNCTTCGTTGGTGTGTCGAGGTCATTTCTGACACTTTTACAAACTGGAAATAAACTATTAAAGTCATTTGTTGATTGCAAGGATTAATGTCCCTGTAGAGGGACCTCATTGAATTTCCTTGATTCACGGAATTGAGTTCCCGTGTGACTCACCACCACAAGGTCCGCCCTAAACATCGAAACGACCCGACAAAATGTCAAGTGGAAAACCATCATACGCGATTTCACTAAGATACCTTACCTCGGATTTACATAAACAATAAAAAACACAGAAATATCGAAGAATGTAACTATAACCTTCTAAAGTTATTTAAGTACTAGTAGTCAGGTTCAGAAGCTGGGTAATTAAGCCTCCCTTTACGATGTTAGGTACCGAACCGTTACCCGTCTAGCACTAATATATGAATAATAATAGCTCGGATGCGTATCTCCATTTCAAAAAGGGGCGACCTTTTCTCGACCCGGTGAGGATGAAAATCATCGTCCGGGGCGGCATTTCAGCATAAAACGGATGCCATGACTCGGCGATACCGTGACTTATATCAATATTATGAAACCCAAATATTAGCAAAAAATATACCCTAAATGTCTGAGTCACACCCCGCGAAAACGGTAATAGTCGTTTAGACCGCGAAGTAGGTACCCCCAACGCCGTACCCTTGTGTTAATTCGCGTCATTCCCCCCAAACTCAAAATTTTGCGCATCCTGTACACAAAGACGAGTTCAAAGTTTTGCTTCTATTTATCATGTTATTACTTATTAGTCTAGGTATTTCAGTAATTACTTTATTTCTAAACAAACCATTCGTGAAAATAAGTCCACCGTCGAGTTCACTAAAATGTCAAACCGGTTGTTTTTAATTTGTCTTATTTTCTATCCGGATGTTTTAATTTTGTAATTTATGTTCAATGTTTTTAGATCAGTTCCTTTTGGCTTGTTCCCGAAATTACCAATATTTTCAAATCAACTTTCTTCTTTACTCTGGTTTCCTAGTCACAATCCTCCCACGGTCTAAAGAACTAGTCCACCTAAGCCGTGAAACAAATTATTATCCGCAGGAGCACCGACTAGTTGTGCATGGACGACGACATCTCCAACCCCTACTTTTACACGCCCGATGATTTCGCCTTATTATAAAATAACCATACAAAGATTAACAGAATACAAAATGGAAGGCGTTATTGAAGCGCACGATGATGACGTGTGATACCGGCTGTAACGTGTAAATCCATTTACATCTTTGAAGATGTTTGAATGGTGATATCCACTGTGATAGATGTTAAGGACTAACGTTTATAATAAATACATTTGTATTTATTTTAAGATCTTTTCATAGTTCATACAATCATACGTATTGGGATCATTTGTATTAATGTGGACCGAAGGAAGAGGTTGACGAGCATACGTTTCACTTTCCTTTTTTATTTCAATTCAAACTTTGGTCATGAAGAATATGTTTCTCTGTTGTCCACGTTCATAAAGCATAAAACAACAGCATCAGAGCACGGTGCAGAGTCTCTAGATGAGTTTACAGTAGTCCGTCGTTCTTATTATACATCCATGTTGTAGTCCGCTGTATAGAAAACTGTAGTTTCCATAGTTTCCCCACAGCAGCAGATGCACATTTATGACGTCCGCTGGCGCATCATAAACACGTCGGATAGTGAAAGTGCATTCGAATTCTCTAAAGTTCCGCAGTCTCTTCTCCTAATACCTTTTGAATTCTCCTATCCACTATCCCTTAACCCCATGACGTTTCACTCAGAGGTCAAGGAATAGGAGATAGGGATAGAATTTAGGAGCTGATTTTTGGATTATCGAAACGCAACCCTCGACTAGAGAATTCGAACGGCACTTATCATGGCTGCCACTGAGGAACTTCCGGGTCATTTCACTCCGTTAGGAAGGTTCCTAAGCTAAATGGACTATTCGGCTTCAGCCCTGGGCTGGGGAAATGTCTGCACATTTTACAGAAAAGCACGTCCCTACTTACGCTGTATTCCACCCAGGGAAAAACTTCATACCACTTCAACCAGTTTTTACCGGAAATTAGTTCAGTTCAGTGGATAAAACCATAGAGTCTAGACTGTTTATAAAGAGATTAAACACATACAACATTAATTCAACTCGATATTTGTTCACTTGAATTTCACTTTGAATGCTTGGATATTCTCAATGGGTGAATACAAAAATGTATAATAATAATAGGCTTTAAAACACCGATCTTTCTCAGGGTGGGCCAATGAGTAAACTGGCCCTATGGTGGCTACGCCACTGCTATAGCTCCTCCACTGATTACCTGATGTGTATTGACTCGTGCACACAGGCTGGTTGATTGACGTTATGTAAGCTTCTTTTGGCACGTGCTCGAATTTCCCAATGAAAAAGTGAAACTCAACAGCAGTTGGTGGAAACGCCCACAACCGAAAACAGACTTATCCCTCCCTTCTTTTGAAAAGAACGTCCAATCCTCTTTTCCGGATCTGCTCCTGAGTGTACGTTATACAAGCAACTCTTTAAAAGCGTCTCCTAATACATCCCTTGTTATATCACATTTCCTCACTGTGGGGACGGTGTCTTATGTGCCAGGAGCATCTGCAGATATCAATTCGGCAGTTTAAATACTTTGCAAAAAGAATCAATCATACATCTTTTTTTTGTGCTCACGGAAAAGTCCAAAAGTATCCAAATAATGGCAATGCTGAATCATTTAACGACAGCATGCTGGAAGAAAGTTCAGAACGACCGGCTAAAGAAGCAGCTGTTCTTCATTTGCCGCGCCTTGCATAAGTCTGCAGCCAGCGATGCTTTTGGGATCTCCGAGGCTGGGGAAGGAGCCATGCCGGAAAGTGTTATCTCATCGGCGGCTGTCAGCGAGAAGCCCAGAATCCTGAGCCTGGAGGAGATGCCTGGACCCAGCACCCTCTCCAACCTGGTAGAGTTCTTCTGGAGAGACGGGTTCAGCAGAATTCACGAAATACAGGTAATGGTGTCCACAACCCATTCCTCTCTTTGTGCATTTTTTTGATTTTGATTTTTTTTACATATAAAATCATTTCTTTGTGTTTCATTGAAAAATAAAAAACAGGTTATCCCAATTACAATATGAAAAAAAAGATTGCAAAAAGAAAACCGTTGCAAAATTACACACAAAAACTACAATTTAAGTATTACAATTACTTTTGGAACATTTTGCAAGAAGTTCATTTGTTGATTGCCATACATCCCCTGAAAGCCCTCAACCATTTATTTGTGGTTGTAAAGTTTCACAAGGCTGTGGTCATCCTAGAGCTCACACTCATTTTATACAGCAAGGTCAATTTTTTTAGAAAAAAATGATATGATTTATGAATTTCATAAACCCATTGAACCCATTTTGATTCAGATATGTTGATGAGAAGTCAAGTTACCTCTGCCAATATTCCCATGTAAGCTTTATATAACTTTGGAGTGCTGTTTAGCCTCCTTTGGGACAAGCTAGTATGACAAATGGACAATGGATCTCCACTGTAGTTTTTAAACTGAGAACCCACTACAGCCTTTAAAAGACCATAGGCCTACAGGATTGCTGGAGACCCCCCAGGTCTAAGAGAGATAATGGTCCTATTCTCATGGTGGTACAGTATCAAAATGTGCCATTAATACATGAATTTAGCAACATTTTAAAAATCATACATGAGACAATCTTTTAAAAAAAGAAAGAAAAGAAAAACAGTTGCATCATCAAGTAATGTAAAGTTTTTTTCAATCCAATTTAAGGTTTTAAACCTGTTTATTTATTACTCTTTGAAGAATTTCTATACAATAAGAAATACACCTTTTATTAATATGAAACAGCCCATAATACTATTTGAGAAAAGGCAGACATTTCTACAGTCAATATCTCTAACATCAATAACCTCTCACCTTTAGATAGATAGTTGGATAGATAGGTACTGTATTGATCCCAATGTGGGAATTGTTTGCGTTGCAGCAGCATTATAAAACAAGGCAATGTACATAAGAGACATTTAAGACACAAGAAATAAACAGTCCAAAGTATTTCTGAAATAGAAATAAAATAGCATTAAAATCCATAATCTTAATCTATATTGATTATTAGCATTACTGTCAAGAGAAAACATTTGTATTTTTTTAAATGTTGGGTTTATATGTCTAATTAAGCTGTCTGAGCAGTAATACTTCGAATGTGCTTTGTCATGCATACAGTCTATAATCCGTCATTACTTATAATCCCTAAATCTATCACGTTTTGAAACTTGATTGGCACGGCATTGAACACAAATCTGCCCTAATGCATTCCATTACTTTATCCACATTTTAATAGGATAACACTGTATTATTCAGTGAGCCTGACAAAGCCTTGCACTGTTTATAATCCAGCATACTCATTAGTCGCAATACTAATCGGAAGTATTTTCATCCTTATCTTTATTCCTCAAGCTTATTATAATTCAATTTGTTTGCACTCTAGCTACATCTGCATACTCCCCCTGTAAACCATTCAGCTATTTAAATGTTCATCTCTTAAAGGATATTTATGCTATGTTGGGAAAGGTTCTGGCAGAAGATGAAGACTAAATAGTAAAAATAAATATAATAAGTATTTCGAGTTATAAACTTTGCCAGGTACACAGAAAGAGTATTTGTTACCCTGTGTGTCACACACTTGGTGCAGTGTACTCTTTATCAGGACAAGTAATTACTATCACTAAGTACTGTTTATCTTGTGTTAAAACTTGACTCAACCTGATGATATGACCCACACTGTATCTTATTTGCCACATCCCTTTCTATTTGATCCACTTTGGATTAATACCACTGTTATCCAAATATTTGTAATTCTATGTGCCTGGTGGAGCCACACACAGTCTATTTTCTGGCAAATGTAAGCGTCTTATACTCCTTTGACCACACATTTGGCCATGATACTAACTAGGCAGTGCTGACACAAAGTGTGCAAAAATTAGTTGTTTGCCAAATAGTTTTGACAAAAATCTCAAATAACTGCTATGATTTTCATGTTTACGTTTTGCCAATTGAGTGACTCTTTTTGGCAAAACTTGCTTACAATTTCCCCCCTTCATTCATCATTTTAGGTAATAAACATAGGGGAATTTGTGCTAGTTGTAGGCTTGTAACTGAGAAATCAGAATGATTTACACATTTGGGGAGCCTAGTCTATTGTTGTGTTTGCTAAAAGAGAACGTCCAGGGACAATCTGGATAAATAAAGGTTTGAAATGAAATGTTAACATTGCTGTAAATATTTACTTAGCACTGGTAATCTTAACATTGGGATGCTCAACACACAATTCATGCACGGACAACAGTTAACCTCATAGCCAATATCTGCAAATTATATTACATTTTAATTTCATAAAGAATATGTCAGTCTGAATGTGAATATGTATTGTTATGTGTGACTCTTGCTTTATAGATGGAGCACAGTAAGAAGTTTGGAAAAATATTTAAGTCCCGTTTTGGGCCGCAACTGGTGGTCTCGGTGGCGCACCGTGACCTGGTGGCTGAAGTGCTGAGGGCCGAGGGCGTTGCCCCTCAGAGAGCGAACATGGAGTCCTGGAAGGAGTACAGAGACATGAGAGGCCGTTCCACTGGCCTCATTTCAGCGTGAGTGCCATTTCAAACTTAGATGAGTGATTGAATCTGCACAAAGACCTACTGAAGTTAATTACTGCAGCAGGATAGGATAATCCCTTTAGTTTCCATTATGTGTAGATGAGTACAGCACAACATTGCACTCTTTGGCATAGATACTTTTAGTTTTTCAACAGCTTCACCAGCATCACAAAGTCCAAAGCGATTTACAAATTCTAAAAGATTTTATTTGTTTCTTTTTATGTATAGGATATAAGAAGTACTTTATTGATCCCAATTTGGGAACATTTTGCGTTGCAGCAGCATAAAAAGACAAGGCATAGAACAAAAGAGAAATTTAAAAGACTAGAAATAAACAGTACAAAATGTAAATTGTCATTAATAAAACAACAAGGTTGTTCCCACTATATGTCCAGAAATGTCTTGCATTACATTAAACAATGCCAACATGTCCTGCTTGTGTCACTTGTGTGGTGTTCTCCAGGGAGGGAGAAGACTGGCTGAAGATGCGGAGCGTGCTCAGGCAGCTCGTCATGCGGCCCCGTGACGTAGCATTGTTCTCTGACGATGTGAACGAAGTGGTCGATGACCTTATCAATAGAGTTCGTATTTTGCGCACCCAGGAGTCTGACGGAGCAACTGTCCTTAATGTCAATGACCTGTTCTTCAAATATGCCATGGAAGGTTGGTAGAGATGTAACAGAGGTTGTGTGAATGAATTGAATGGATTTAAAAATGATGAAATTATGATGCACCTGTGTTACATTCAAGTTACACTTTAACATAAAAACAAGTGAGGAGTAAGGAATTCTTGTTGCAGCTGCACCAAAAAGATTAATCCTCCTATCCCTTTTTTATCTTTAAAGGTGTGGCAGTCATATTGTACGAGTCCCGACTGGGCTGTTTGGAAAATGACATTCCCCAGGAAACCCAAGACTACATCGGAGCGCTGCACCTCATGTTCAGCTCCTTCAAGACGACCATGTATGCAGGGGCGATCCCCAAGTGGCTGCGACCTGTCTTCCCCAAACCCTGGGACGAGTTCTGTTGCTCCTGGGATGGCCTCTTCAAATTCAGTGAGCATTTTACATGACAGCTACTTTAACACTGTTTGGTATACATGTTAGTTTTGGCAAACCATCTGCCTGCAGTAGCAACAGTACTTTCTCATTCAACAGGTTTTACTGCAATTCTGTTCTCCACTTCCAATAAGAATTTGTTGCAAAGATAACCCTTGAAAACATCATCATTGTTTACCAAGCTTCTCCAGAACAACAAGATACATTTACAACTGTTTTCACATCCTCCACTTGGAAACATGTTTGTAATGATGACTACTACTACTACTACTACTACTACTTTTTTGGTAAACATGTTGGATAATGCTTTGCCAGCTGTAATCCTTAAACAGAAAACCCTACTTTTTTGTATAAGAGCCTTGCATCAATAGAAAGGAATGTTGATTTGCATATAAATCTCACTGCTCTGCCATGGGGTAGTGGGAGTATGGGGTCCCACAGTTGCATAACCTGTTCAGTTTTTTTTCAATTCCCTTGCTACCCTCCTTCAACTCCCCCTACTTCCTCCCTTTCCATTCATCCTACCTTCTTTGTTGCTTTCTAATTCAAGGTCAGATTCACGTCGATAAGAGACTTTCGGAGATTAAGGCCAAAGTGGAGCGGGGAGAGGAGGTGAAGGGGGGGATGCTCACACACATGCTCGTTACCAGGGAAATGAACTTGGAGGAGATCTACGCCAATTTAACGGAGATGCTGCTGGCTGGGGTCGACACGGTGTGTGTTTTGTGTAATCCTTGTGTGTGCGTGCGTGTGTGTCAGTCTTGGGTTTCAAGGGTTAGGTTTCTGGCGCCACATCCATTCCTGTGTAGCTGTGCCAGCGTCAGGTCAGAACAGTGAATCGGAGGTTACATAGTATCCCTCTGACAAACTTGTTCTCACTCGGCTTTAGTTTCTTTTCATATGTCATTGTCTGCTATATCTACACAGGGGGGCTTTTGTCTCTTTTATTCTCCTCCACCAGACAGCTGTGCTGAGCGTTCATGTGCTTGTAAATTAAAACTAAATTATATAGATATTGTACTGTAAGTTGTTAGGACTGTAGGTCTATTTACACTGAAGTGCATTTCTTTTTAGGTATCTGTGTATACTGTGTGCACATTTGCACTGTTCCTACCTAATTTGTTGGGGGTACTGTCAGGTTAATGATAATTATGAGAGCAGACTCTTTTGTTCTGAGCTGGGGGCCACAGGATAAATGGGTGTGTGTTTTTGTTTAACTTGTTGCAACGGCCACGTCCCAGTAGGGGGTGGGCTTAACCAAGCCATTACCTGACCCCATGGTGTATTACCCTTACTCGGCACACAAGAGAGCTGTCAAGACATGTTAGCCACAGACAGAATTATAGCACAGACTGACCAGAGGTGCGATGAGGGGGACAATAAAGAGCTTGAGGAAAAGGGAATCTTTCAAGAAACAGGAAAAAAGTTTGGGAACTAGCATCATCGGGGGGCTTAAGACGAGTCATTGGTGTTTTAAATTGAAAAAAATATGTGAGAGATTTAAGGGGAGAAGTCCAGGCCTTTCTGAGCTGTTGCATGATGAGCTTTTGTCATATGATTCCTGTCCAGCTTTGTCTGAGGTGACGTGTCAACAGCATCTGTCCCTGTCTGATTAGATTAGAGTAGGGGGGAGAGGGAGGTGGGAGACACAACAGTGAGAAGGATGATAAGACCTGTGATACAGTGAAAGAGACTATTTTGATCATTAGTCTACTCGTCTTTTACCAATCCATGTCATAAAATGCATGGTTGGAAAAGTAAAGAGGCCAGATGAAAAGATGGCATCAAGGTTTTCAATTATCATTTTAGATCCAACCAAACTTTCCCTCCACGACGGCCAGAATTAATACTATCTCGGGCGAAGTAGAGTCTATATAATTAAAATGATAGTCGGCATTAGCTAGTGAAACTAGCCACTTCAGTGGACTTAGCTCAACAGCCGCGTTCAGGTTGCCTAGCTTAGCTGATGATCAAGAAATGAAGTCAATATTAGGCTAGGGCAACAAGCTAACAGCACAGTCAGTAAAGATAAGATTTCATAAAAGAAAATATAACGCACTCTAATTGACCTATCTGCCTACGTTATTGAAATTAAGATGTCTGTGAGATTTGAAAAAATAATAGTTTGGCAGAGTTGAGAACAGAAGATATATATAATAGAAGTTGGCAGGGCACTACCAATCTGTGAGATTGGGCAATAGCGTGTCAGAGTTTGAGAATTAAAGTTAAATGTAATTGGATTAGTACCTTTTGTTTCTCTAATTAATCAGGATTATTTTAAATCTGCAGTATCCTTATATTATTTGAGATAATCTACTCACTGTAATGCTATTAAGTGTATATGATTTGGCTGAAAAGTGTGAATAAGGCAATCAATAGGGATAAGCGTCTGGGTGTGAAAGCTGGCTTAAGAAGCTGGTTTAAGAAGATTTATTGAAATTCAGTTTTTCCACTCTGTTTTTTGTATACATGAACATGCTTCTAATATAGGGACATACAAATACACAGTTATGTTTTTTTTTAAGTGCACACATGCTCATACAGATACAACATCCTAACTCTTTATCAGCGTATATTGCAAAAGTATCAAGAAAAACATAGGCATACATTTTCCAAAGAGATTTCAATTAAGAACAAATTAACAATATCTCAATTGCAATCTTTATTTATTTATTTATATAGTACATTTAAAACAACCTTCAGTTGACCAAAGTGCTGTACAGGCAATAACTACAATATTAAATAACACAATGTGATATAATAATTAAAAACATGATAAAAAACACAATAACTAGAAACATATAAATAAAAAAAAACATACAAATGTAAACATTTTATGTTCAACTAGTATTAAAAGCCAGTGCAAAGAGGTGAGTTTTTAGCTGAGATTTAAAAAGTTCAATAGACTCAGCAGTCCGGATATGTCCTGGGAGGCTGTGCCACAGTCTGGGAGCTGCAACACTGAAAGCCCTGTCACTCAGGTGTTTTTCCTGCCCTGAGGAACCACCAACATATTTTGCTGAGCTGATCGCAATGCTCTAGCTGGAGCATGGCGGTGCAAAAACTCAGACAGGTAATGTGGTGCCAGTCCATGCTATGATTTAAAAACAACAAGTAAGTACTTGAACTGGATCCTGTAACTGACGCCAATGAAGGTCTGCCAAAACGGGTGTGATGTGGTCATAACGGCTCTTCCCAGTAAGAAGGCGTGCAGCCGCATTTTGGACCAGCTGCAGGCGACGGATCAAACACTTGTCAACATCAATATACAGGGAGTTACAATAGTCTAAACGAGACGTTATAAATAAGTGGATTCGCTGTTCAAATTCCTGAGGAAGATAAGCTTTTACCTTCCCCAGAAGCCGCAGCTGGAAGAAGCTTGTCTTGACGAGCTTATTTGTTTGTCAAATTTAAAACAGTTGTCAAAAATGACTCCAAGATTTCTGACAGAGGGACGCTAAGGACCAAGAATCAGCACTTTAGTAACAGGGCTGGAATAGAGGGATATGAGGGATGTCTAAAATGCATGATCTGTTTGGTATTTTGAGCAAAACACATCATAGACATGTTTTATATATATTTTTATATATCTGAGACCCATAATATATGCCTATGAATAGCATTATAGGTGACCTTTAAACGAATCATCAAGTCAGTGTGAAGTAAAAAAAAAATCCACCTTGAGGGCACTTTCTGGAAGGAGAAAGCTGGTTGGCTCGTAGCCCAGGAGAAAGAGCCGGTTGGTTTAGCAGCGGATGGCCATGTTCTGAGCAGAGTGGTACATGTACTGCATATATACGCTAAAGTACATTTACTCAAGGATTTTTAAGTAATTGATGCTACGTTATACTTCTACTCCACTGCATTTTAAAGGCCAATATTGTAGTTTTTACTACACTGAGTGTTTACAAATTCCGATTATGAGCTAATACAAAATAAAAATCCACACACATTTATAAATATATAATTATGGGTTAAGATATCAAGCCGGATTAACTAAATATAATACAATTAGCTCCACCTTTAGCAGCTGTGATGAATACATTAATGCATCAAAATTAGTTAAGAAAAAAAGAAAATGGAGTAGATCAGTTGTGGTTTGGTTCTTTTGTAATGGGGGGTGGGGTGAGCTTGTAAAACACACCACGAGGAGAAGGATGCAGTATTGAGTCCTAAAACCCTGAAATGAGTCAGCATTTAACCGCTTCCTGGTTTCCTCGTCTGGAAGTCAATGGTTGTTGGTGATGACTAAACGTCACCAAACATTAGCCGCCTTTAGCTTAGCGGTGGTGACGTGAAGTCATGTGACCGTGCTGTAGTTGTTATAGCCCAACATTAGCTTTTTACTTCTGCATAAAATTATAAAAGTGTTTTTAATATGTGGAGATTATCGTGCTCAACAAAACGTGTAACTATCATAAACATGTGTTTGCCACAGAGACTATTTTCTGCAATATTCCAGGTTACATTACATTACATTACATTTAGCTGATGCTTTTATCCAAAGCGACTTACAATAACTGCATTCGACCAGGAAGATACAACCTTGAAGAAAACAGAATCATATAAGTACATCAGGTTTCATAGAGCCAAACATTTCAAGTGCTACTCAACTGGCTATAGATAAGCCAGTCCTTTATTATAAGTGCTTTGTTAATAGTTCTATCGCTCGAAGTGGAGTCGAAAGAGATGAGTTTTCAGTCTGCGCCGGAAGATGTGTAAGCTTTCTGCTGTCCTGAT